CCTTCCTCAGGATTCCTGCAGCTGCTTTCTCAATTGACTTCTGTTGGAGATGTGTCAGAGGAGCAATTTTTAAGTAAGTTTCAGAAAATTAAAAATCTTATTCCTAGTCTTATTAGTGCCATGATAGTTTCTTTACCTATTCAAATTAAATGTTACAGAACGCTTTGATGCGATGCAAGCGTGTCCCAACACTTACTATGTGACAGTTATTGAGGATACAACTAACGGTCAGGTGATTGGGGCATCTACTCTTGTTATTGAACAGAAATTCATCCACGGATGCAATGTGGTACGGGCCGTTTATTTTGAATAAAATCAAGGAAGATTAGAACTATTATATGATGATTATTTATTTATCTCATTTAATTTACATTTCAGCGTGGCAGACTGGAGGATGTTGTTGTAAACAACACTTACCGAGGGAAACAACTTGGTAAACTGTAAGTCCAATCTTGAGTATGGTTGAACAGTTGAACAATTTTAGTCAGAAGGAACTAATTCTCATTTCATTGATGCTCTCAACAGAATTATTACAACTGTAACATTGTTGGCAGAGGAACTTAAGTGCTACAAGATGACCCTTGACTGCAAAGACAAGCTTGTACCATTTTATTCATCTTTGGGTTATTCTATTGAGAAGGGAAACTCCAACTACATGCAAATACGGTTTGATGAGGCTCCCTCCTGACTAGCGGCCAACCTCAGGCGCTCCCACTTGTGAGCGTCTGCAGGTCCTCGGAAGATTTTTTTAGGTTTAATTTTGTAAACTTCGTTTACCATGAATGAACGGCTATTTAGTTCACCACAATTTTAATAACTCGTGAAAAGTACTTAGTATTTTTTGCCATTGATTATAGTGATTGTGCTATGATTGGCAAGAATGTGATGTAACCATTAATTTGATGATGAGTTAGTGTTAACTAAGTTATTACATTTGTGTTATTTTAAATTTAATATTTTTTTCTTCAAATGTACAGTGCGTTAGAGCATATTTTTTGGTAAAGGGTAATTTGTAACTAATTTTAAAGAGAATTTAATGAATCTGAGTAGCCTAAAAGACAAGTAGGTATGTTAATTGTATCGGGTGTGAAGGGATGTAATTAGTTCCAGGTAATGATTTTTAACTGAAACATGACTGTAAAAAGTTTTCTTTGAAATCAAATACTTACTCATTTCAATAAAAGTGAAATTAAATTTAAATAAGTAGAATATTGTACACCAGTTACCTTAGCAATTTATTTACAAAAAGAGTCCTGTTTCACAACATGCTCTTTAATACATGAGATTACACTCAATGGCTTTATATGAGCATTGACGGAGAAATACACTAGTCCTAGACCAGATTTTAAAATCATACGTGCAATTGGAAATTCAAAGAGTTTGCAGTGAAAAGAGAAGAACTTCACACCACAGATAGGCCAACAAGATGTTAATAAGAAAAAAGAAACAGAACCACAAGCCCAGATCAACGTACTTTTAGTTAAATCAAATGAGAACATTAATGATAGAATAAAAAAGCGAGTATAATGATACTTTGCAGTACTCTGCACAGTAAGAAAATTTGACTCCAAGTTTACAAAACACATGGCTAAGGTTAATGTTTAGTTTACTCAACGGTAACACTGCAAGCATAATTTTAAAAAACAACATTCATTGGATTTATCAGCTACTCTGACACAATAACAATAGCATGCACAGTGGTATGGTATCACACTTGTAGAAAATACAGTATTCAAATTAAAGCAGCTATCTTAGTCAGAAAAAATATTCAGTCAAAATCCACAACACTGATAAAAGCACTCATTTGAACATTTACAAAGACCTGTGGGCAAGGAAGAATGACTCAAATACTACAATAAAACAAAAGCAAACCAGTCCATAGGAATGTTGCTACGGAGCTTACATCCCATTTCAACCTCTTCACACAGATTGCCACAGAGGTGCACTGTGCATTTGCAGTAATAACCTCAACAGGAAACATATTTTTTCTTTTGAATCTAGACAAGACAAAAAGTATTGAATAAACAGAGCATAGGATATTGACAAGAAAACACTTGGTAATCACAGCAGATTCACTACTTATGCAACACAACCTGAAATATTAAGACCTCACTGTCCACAAATTATGATACAAAATAGAAGCCAGCAGCTGAGGTCAATCCTTCCCAACTTCTGCAGCTATAATGCAACAGACTCCACTGATCAAACAGATGGCTGGAACACCAACTCTAAGCAGCTGAGATAAAGAAAAATACTGATGCTCTAGTTTGTTCAAAGAGAATTGAGCAAGACTAACAAAGATAGTCACTAACTGAATCTGAGAGCAAATCCGAAAATGCACAGAAAGAAATGTGTGGTGGGCATGTGACGAACATATTGCTTTGGTTAACATAATAATTTAGAATTATAGAAAACAAAAACAAGACATCTAGATATTACAAATACAGTAAAACATTTCCAAAACCATCGGAAAGAATAAAATCTGAAATATGAAGAAAAAGAAACAATGTAATACACACACATACATACAAGAACACAAGTGTGCTCAATTCACAAACGTTGGCCATTTTGTCATGCCCAGTCTATAACATTGGTCCACTTTACGCATACTTTTTCAATATTGATAGAAATTTCTGTCAAATTTTAAGTGAACATAACAACAACAAAAATTAATATTAATAATAAAAAAAAACAACCCAAGCTGCCAGGCGGCATTGGCAACACCATCTTTCACAAACAAGAGTAATAGTCTATGACAACAGTCTAACAACCTTGTTAGGTTGAAATAGAAATGAGCAAAATCACTCCCCTTACAGTATACAGCAATATGACCCAGTTAAGTGAACACTGGGTAAAACCAGTGTTGATAACAAAGGAATTGTCGAACTTATTAAAATTGATAAGTGGAATTTTTTTTTTTTTTGACTATGGGGAATACTGTCATGGAATAAAGAAAGGGAAAACATATCGTAAAACAAACAAGACAGAAAATTTTAGATATCACAGAATATAAAATTTTAATGTATGGCAACTGTAAAAACTTCAGTAGGAATGAGTCCCGAGTTCTAGGTAACTCTACACCCCTTTACAGCTTTCACATGAAAGATCAAAAATGTTCAGAGAAAGTTAAAATACTGCAGGGGAAAATTAAACTACAGCTACTGAGGGTAACATATGCCTTTGTTTGAACATAATGAAAAATTTCAAAAATAAAGACCCTGCAAGGAATGAAGAGTAATGTATTTTGATGAATATGCTGCCTTTCATTATTAACCTACTGGGCTGGCACTTCAGGGGCCAAACGGCATGTAAATGTCACAATTGACATAATCATGTTGCGAAGGAAAGCTGGGGTCGATGGCTTATTTGCTGTATTTTCAAGAAGGGCACGAAGCTCCAAGAACATGTTCCGTGTGTAGGGGTTACGTCTTGAACGGTACCTCATAACGAGGAACTGGTAGTACATGAATGGGGTGAAAAGTCCAGCACGTCCTCTGCAAAGTCAAAGTGGTTGAATATTATTTGAGAACAATCATCACAATTACCACTGGAGAGTCAATAACAGACTGATTGAGGCAAATTTACTCACAGCAAGATCAGGACAACAGTGAACGGCATCAGGAAAATCTCAGAAAATGAGATCAAGCGCAAGATGTTTCTAGATTGGAACTCAACCACTGAAATTGCCAAACGAGCACCCCACCAAGAGTTTTGACCAAGTGTCTGCAAAGGAAAATATGTGTATTAATAAAAATAAAATAAAAAAATAAAATGTCTTTTTCATTTTTTGTGAAAATTTTAAAGCTTACATCAAGAAGCTGAAGAGAGTAGCTAGCTGAATGTAACAGGGAGAAAAGAGCAACAGGTAATAAAACAACTGTATTGGAAGTTAAGGAAATTAGTTTCATCTCTTGGGCGTAAATAAAGCAACTACCCAAATCCCATATAAAACTTTAAAAACTTGGGGTGGAAATAAGCCACGACTGCAATTTATGAAATACCTATACAAATAAGATGAAAAATAAAGGATACGAGTCACAGGTGGAACGTAGAGGAAAATCATAGCATAAAACAAATAATGACAACTATCTTCAGTCATTAGCTGCATGAAAAACTGCCTTGTGAATGAAACTGGGTGAAGTCTTTGATGAAGGCGAAGTGCACTGGTAGCAGCATTAGCCATTAATGCTTTGTAGTATGCATTGTATGGATTCCTGCACAGAAAAAAAAAGTAACCCATCAAAACAAAAAAAGATATAAAAAAATAGCTTCCTGAAGAGCAATTACAGCTAATGTAATAAAAATGCAAATGAACTTAGAAGGTAGCCTTGAGGCCTTTCAATAGAACCAGACTTCTTAATTGGCATCCTTACCAAAAGAGTGGGATGAAGTAACCAATTGTAAAGATAAGGTTAGCAATTCGAGTTGCCCATAGGGCAACATCAATTTTATAATCCATGACATGTTTCCGAAGAGCATTCCAGCCTTTGGGTTGCTGCTGTGTACCTCCTGTAGCAAAGTCAGCCATTCTGCAAGTAAGCAAAAAACATGAGCAACATAAGACTTTATTTCCTTTGAAATTTGTTGGTTATTTGTTCATGTAAAGGTAGGTCTCCCCTATCTAATCTTTGTTTCAAGTACATGAATATTAACAAGTGTTACATCAAGTACTCTGGGAGTGAAAAAGCCAATCATTGCCATGTGTATCTGACTAAAAAAAAGTTAAGTCTTGTCATGTCATTCCATGCCAGAAGGTGGCACTGTATGTAAATTATGATTTCTCTCCATCATTGTGTGATTTAATGGGCATGTACGTTACATGTGTTACAGGTTTCAGCTGATCAAGTACAACTTTCAGCAAATAAACTTTTGAGCTTGTTGTACCATCTCTTAAGTTAACAAAATTAAGAGATTAAGTCTTTATTAAACAAGATGTGAAAGGGCAAAATTCTGAGTAAATAATGAGGACATAGTACCTTTGAAATTATTGGTTTGACAAATGTGGAAAGTATCGAAAAATGAAAGGAGGTCACAACTAGAGAGGTAGCACCAGGTAAAGATAAAAATATATACGCCGAAACAATCTCAGTTTGGGGCTAAAATTTAGAAATATTGGAATAAAGAATATCATGCAAATATGACGACAGCCGTTTCATTGTGAGACTTCAAAATGTCAACAAACATACATCATTCGACACAAAAACAAAGAAAGTCAGAGCTTAAATCCAAACACAGGTTGCTTAGTTTACCTGATTGGACACAGAAAACACTAAATGTGTCACAATTTGCCGATACTTGGCTTTCGCAAGCAGACTACCACGAACACGACACGAAGCCAGCACTCGTACTCGCGGAGTGTGGAGAAACTTCGCTGATTCACGTCAGAAAAAAAAAGAAAGCTAAGATGGCCGTCACGAGAACTTTGCCATGTTATCACCAAATGACGGTCGGAGTTTGTATTTGGTTACCGTTAAAAGAGAATTTCTGAACCATGTAAAATGACACATTTTTTAACAATAATGTAATTATGCTTCGTCCCGTCTAGCGATCTATCATGGTTGTAGAAGAATCCTCTCTTGGAAGCACGAATGACGCGTCTAACAGGGAGTGTTAGTGTACTAAGGTTGGTAGCACTACATGCTTGTACTAACTTCCTGTTTGTACGCGCGGTATTTAAAATTTGGCAAATCACTGAAAATTTTGATTGATACTATAGTGTACATCATACATCAATAAAATGGAGAAAATATAAAAGGAAATGACTAGTGAACCAATATATGCACACGGGATCAGTTTTTAAACCTTCCACTATTTTTCTTCCCTAAAAATATTGATTTTCGGTCATCACAATGGGCACAGACAGTGCACAGCAAAGTAAGCATTAATCTTTTTATGTTATTTCATAGTAATGTGGAGTGGAGTGTTGTTGTGAAGTGTTGTAGGGAAGATAGGATGCGACCAATTTGAACGGACAGAGTGCTTGTACAGGCATTCTTTAATATTAGCAAGAGATTTGACAATACCAATAATTTAATACTTTTGGAGGGGGTGGCAACTTAAAATTTGAGATGCAGTAGAATATTTCAATAAAGTTGAAAATAAAGAAACCATTGTAACCCTAACTACTTGAATAATAAAGAATATCTGCTTGCTTGCAGTTGAACGTCAAAACAATTTTAGAAGTCACATGTTCTTTGGTTTACAAATTAGGTTTTTTTAAAGATCAAATTTAATTCTTTCACTAAAACTATGAAAGAAGCAAGTTTAAAAGAAATAGGAACCTTAAATTTGGAAGGTAACTTCAATTTGTTTCCCCTCAGTTTTTCTATTGGAAAAAATACACTACATGAGCTAAGTTTCAGGGCACATCTACAACAATGAACTTAAACCAGAAACATGTTTCCAAAGAAAAGTGCCAATGACATAGGTTCTGTAACATTTGGATTGCAAGCGAACAATTAATCAACTGGTGCTTTCCCATGATGCTACAATATGCACTCAATGCATTCAATTCGGGTGAATATGTTCACAAGTTATGACTGATAAAACAACTGATAGACATCTAACATCACAACATAATAAAGGTATGATAATACACATAAATATTATTGTTGATTCATGGGCTGAATATTGAGATACTGTACAAGTAAATGAATAGATTATCAGTAAAAGGAAGCAAATAAATGTTAAGATGAAAAAAATGAGTAATAAAGAAATGAAAATAAAAACTCTACTAAAAATGGTTAACTTGACATAACATTTGGAAACATTGCCACATAATAAGAATTAATGCAATGCAAAATCTACGACAAGGAGAGAGGGGTGCAAGAGCCCAAAGCAGCAGTTCAAGCCATATGGGCCCAAGCATCTCAGTCTTAATGAAAATATCTGCAAGGCTTTCAAACTTAACATTGTATCTGTATCCACAGAAATAATGAAAGTAAATCACTGAAAACGTTTGCTGAGCAGTACAAATGAATAGCATAACATATGCATCAATACCTCTAATTACTACAAAAGAAAATAGGACCGTTACAAAAAGGGAAAACAGTTATCAGACAGAGAATGATGTAATTTATAGATCAGAACACACTTTTACACACCCTGTTAGTGCACTAGACAACACTAGACACTTAACTTTCATTCTCAATAAGCGAAACAACATAAAAATAGCAATAACCCTTTTGTTTTTGCGTATTGGCAATGAATGGATGGATGTACTAACATCATTCACAAACTAGGTACTTCAGGATTGGTTGTTTTCCTTCAATTTCCAAAGGGATAGAAACTTCGCAGGATTCTGTTACAGAATTTTCACTAACACAGATTGGTTCAACTATAACATCAAGAGGTTTGCCATCAACTGAAATTTCAATGCCACTCAAATCAACCTCAGTATGTGGTTTACGATGCTTTGATAATCGTTTATCACCATTGCTAGTAGACGCTCCTGAATGGCACAGCTTACTTCGCAGACTTGCTTTGTCATTATTCACTTTTATGTCTGACTGTTGACTGATGTCAGCTGTTTTGTCACTTCCTCTACTACGAGTGCTCCCAATAGAAACAGGACTTGAAGTTGCTTCTATAAAACTAACATTGTCATCAAACCGAACTCTGTCAACTGATACACAATCATCATTGCCTCCAATACCACTTCCTGCACTTTCAGTATCACTGGTCTGGAAAAGAAATTTACAATATCATTAATGCAGTCATATGAGATGTAACTGAATGAAACTGAACACATGGAATAAATTAGATTTACCTGTCGGTCTAAATTTGTTCTGCGCCTATTTCCAGAAAAATCAGCACGTCTTACTGAACCAGCAGCAAGTTCCTCATATGAATCAGATATTGTGTCTTCCACATTTACAACTCCCGAGACGGAATCCATCTGAAAGAAAAATGCATTAAATTAATTGAAGGCCACTCCTGACAACTACTACATGAGAGGTGCATCTCTCGTGTGAGACAAAAGTAAGTCCCACTCACCTTGTAGTTTGCAATGGATCCAGCGAGAGCCCTAGTGGAAGCCGCTCCATCGTCACCGAGTGATGCTGACACGGATTTCTCCGACAAACTAGTGGCGGCCGAGGCGGTCTCGCTGCTCATGCTGTAACAATGAGTTAGCACCACATTCACTTGATTTTCAAGCCTAAAAGAGACGCTTGTTGTCTCTAATTCTGCAGTTCTAATGGCAAAGGCTGTGGTGGTATATACAGGAGGTGCGGGTAGGGGTCCCACAAGGCCAGCATACACTCTTAATGTGAGAGGACAATTTCGTTCCGTTTGTTGCCATACTGAGTTTGTCCCATATTGCGGGGACAATTGGCGCCACACTATTGCAAGCTGTCGCAATAAATTAGGACAATACTGATCGAGAGACTTGCGATCAAAGAAGAGCAACTTTCTTGGATACAAAACCGTTCCGTTTCACTTTAGAATGCTGGCGCCGCGGGGCGCGTCTCTTACCGCTGTCCAGCCGACACCGCCGACACGCCGGCGATGGAGCCCGCCAGGCTGGCCCCCGTGAGGCTCGCCCCAGCGATGGCCACGTTGCTGACGGACTGGTCCTCCCGGTCCGGATTGAATGGGTAGGGGAACGGGTAGGCGTCGGCGTCCCCCTCGGCGTCGGCGTCACCCTCGCGGCCCAGTCTCTCCAGGTGGCTGCCGCTGCCCAGAGAAATGGACACCTCCCCTATGGAGGGGTTGACGCCGCGGTGGCTGAGGCTCACGCCATCCTGGTCCACGTCCACGTCCTGGTCCGGGTCGGGGCGCTTGTCCAGGTCGTCGAGGTCGTCCAGGCTGAGCCACTCGGCCGCGTTGAGCACGCCGCAGCCGCGGGACCGGCACATGGCCACGGGCACCACGCCGTACACGTAGCAGAGCAGCACGGGGGCGCCGATGGACACGGCCAGCGCAGCCAAGAAGGGTGACGCCACCACCTGGAAGAAGAGCAGACGAGGGGGTGGTTAATGGCGCACCGGACACGGGGGCGCCGGGCCGGACGGGACGGCCTCTGGAGCGCAAGCGATCAATATTCGATTGCAGAGAAAATGGGGCGTGTGGTGCGCGCACGGGTCAAGCTTAGGGGCGCAAAGGGGGTCTTGCCCTCCTGCAACCACCACCAAAGCGGGCGCCAGATGAGGCGTGCGGTAAGGTCGGCCGGGTGAGGGAGGGGGTGGGCGGCGGGCGTGTAGATGAGGTGGATATGCAAACTAGTCGCTGGCCCCGCGAGGGCAGTGGGCCCTATGGCTCAACTTTTGGAGGGGCCGGGGCCCGCACCCCCTCTTCCCTTCTTCCCCTCGATTGTAGGCCACGCCTGTTGACAGACAACTGGCCAGGGAATATACTTTCCTCCAGTGACGGTGGAAGAAGAAGAAGTGGTGATGCGGTTGGGGACCTGACCCCGCCGACTTCGGGTCGGGCGGCGGCTGTCCCCGAGGAAGTCTTGGTTCATTCCTGCGAGTGGCCTTCCTTTCCCGACAGTGTACCCCGGGTGGGCAATTGCTGGCGCCGCCAGCGCCACCCTACGCCACGCCGCGCCCAAGAGGAGAGATGGAATAGGGAAGGTGATGAGCTAGAGATGAGACGGATTGCCCCCCCCCCCCCATCCCGCCGGGCCAGCCTTCCCCAACTCACCCCTGCAATTTCGCGTAGTCTTTGCGAATTGTATCTCTGTGGGGAGAGAAGGGAAGACCTGGCGGGTACGGATAACAAGAGGAAATAATAGGCTTGAATGTCAATGTATTTTAGTTGTTCAAAATTTCACAAATTTTTGCAAAACCTTAGAAATCTGGGAGACTTAAGTTAAACTTCGGCTTAATTTTTAAAGAATTTTCCAAATATTCAAAGCTGAAATTTCGACGGACCTCAGAAAATTTCGTCGAATTTCGTGAATTTTGCCGTAGAGTTCAATCAAAATTTAAATTCTGGTGTACACACATTCTTCGAAGCCCATTTCCCATGAGGGTGTACGAAGGGGATGCGCGGTGCGCAGGGCGTCTGGAATGGAGAGACAAGCGGCGCACATCAAGAGGGTGGGAGATTAGATGGAGGGGGTGGGGAGGGTACGCGGACGGGGTCATGGAGAGGGTGGGTGCGCGGGTCAGGTCAGGGGGCGGGGAGTACCCACCAGAGAGCACCCACCCGACCCGGTACCCGCCGGCCCGGGCGGCTGAGCTGAGACAGGGCGAGGCGAGGATGGGTAGGTG